AATAATTAAGTGAAAGAGAGTAAATGGGAGCACAATAATCTGGATTGTCTCAGGCAAAAAAAGATATAGATACCCAAACAAGTCCCTTTTAGGATTTAGAGATTAAGACATGACAATACACAGCAACATTATTTTCAGAAAGTTTTAGTTAGCTTTTACAGAAACTAGATATAATATGCATTCCCCCCCCCCAATAGATAGACAAGTCATGGCTTTGGCCACAAAAATTTAATTTCAATGATCAAGTCAGATAAAGTAAGTCTGAGGACCAACTCTGGACCAATCTTTGATGTCATTACATAAGACTGAAAGGCCAATACTGGAAAATAACATGTTTAGATTAGAAATACAGCAATGTTGAGGGGCGCCTGGGTGGCTCAGTTGGTTAAGCGGCTGCCTTCGGCTCAGGTCATCATCCCAGGGTCCTGGGATCGAGCCCCGCATCGGGCTCCCTGCTCGGCGGGGAGCCTGCTTCTCCCTCTCCCTCTGCCTGCTTCTCTGCCTACTTGTTCTCTCTCTGTATCTCTCTGCCAAATAAATAAATAAAATCTTTTAAAAAAAAGAAATACAGCAATGTCGAAACCTAGCTCAAATGACGGATCACAAAATTGCAAAACATATCCAGAATTAAAAGATAAAATTAGCATAGTTGTAGGTGATCCTTCTAAATATGTGTGTGGGGGGGAATCAAATCTCTGTAACTAAGAAACAAGTATGTAGGAGTGCTGACAACTGACTACATCTTTGGCCCTCCATTTAGTTCATGCCTGGTCAATGACCTCCCTTGGGGCTATGTGTTCCAGGTCCCTTCAAAGTTGAGATATGCACTTACTGGAATGCAGGAAGGCTTGTTCTGATAAAATGGCACACAGAAGGTGCGACTTCAGGTAACAAATAGAGATGAGTAGTACACAGGTGACACCAGTTTAGATAACTATACTTTAACCTCACCACAATGTCCCCTTGCTCTATAAAAGCTGTGGGTTAAGGCTCAGACAGGAGTGGAGAATAGCTGTGTAGTGCCAGGATCATCTGTCCACCCAGTCCCCACTGTAATTTTGCCTAAATAAAATCAGTAAATGATATGGACTGGTTTGCTTCATTTTTCAGTCTCAAAGTACTTTCTTAGTCTGAATGATACTTTCCTGTCTGTCCTCCACCTTCTAACATATGTATAGTTTATATACAGCAGGAAATAGAGGAACTAAGAAAATAGAAACAAAAATGCCAAGTGCTTAAGATAAACTTTTACTTTGTCCTGTCAGCTAGAAAGAGCCACAGGCTCCCCAATTTCTTCTTGATTAATTGGCCTCAGGAAATAATCCTACTTATTGTTCTCATTACTTGTTAAGATGATTTAGGCTTATGAAGCAGAGATTCATTTAGCCCAGTCCCAGAGTTGTGCTGCATTCAAGGAAACACCTAGCAGGAATGCATACCCTATTGAAGCTATTCTAAAATACCTAAGGGCAGAGCAAGGCAGAAATGGAAAGATATCAAAAAAGGATACATAAAACAAGAATCTTTTATATAGCTATTCTTTTCATTTTAAATCATAAGATGGTAGGATCAAAAATCTAGACTTTTTAGTATTTTAGTCCTGAGTAGCAGCTGAGAGAAGGTTTAACCTTCCTATTCTTAGTGGTTCTAAATTTAAACATTTCAAAATCTTCCACTTCTTTGAAAAATGTTTATTTGTTTCCATGAAAAATGTGGTAGTATGTGTGATAACTGCAGGATTTGAAAATATGTAGTATTTATCAGAAGCTTTTGCAACAATCTAGTGGTTATACAAAATACTGGTAATATTTTATATAAGGCTGTATATTTATTTGTAATAATGTTTTATAAAATTTGGTAGCAACCAAATAATATTGTCTTACTTCTATTTACTTTTATAAGCAAAGGGGAATTCTATACCCATAACTTCTTATTCAATAAATTATAGTCATTTTTCATAAACTTCCCGATTTCATTTTACATCTCCAACATTTCTCCTGACTGCTTGATTTTCTCACATCTTAACTGCAGCCCTGGACATTAGGCTTAGGCTTATAAGGTCAACTGCGAATTCTGTGTCTTCTCTGGAGCAATGATTACAGAATTCACTAATGATATACCTTTACCTACTTAATAACTGATACACGGTCATGACATTACTCTCTTCTCCATGCCTTCATTAACCTAATGTCAGTCATTTGGTCTTTGTCTTTTAGAGACAGGAGACCTGCTACTAATCAACATTTCTGTTTAGGCAATAAATAAATAAATAAAATTGACAGGTGCATAAAGGAATCTCTTCAGTTCTAATTCCTACATCATCAAGTTGAAAACAAGCAATCTCAGAACAGACTTTTTTAAACTCTTCATTCCATGTTGTCAAATTCTGGCCTCAACAGTGGAAGTGAAGCTATATAAAAGTTGTAGAGGTAGTTGTTTGCTCCCTTAATTGGCAGCATCATGAAGAATAATACTCTTTAACCAAGTATATTAGGGCCTCCAATCTTTCACTCATTCATTCAAGTATTGATTCAACATGCATTATGCACAGCTATAACAAAAATAGGTAACAGGCATGAGACCAGACTCTGAGAGGGGGCAAAGAACAAAACACTGTACTACCTTCATGAAGATTACAATCCAGTGAGGATTAGGGTATTAAATTATATAAGTAGTTACTGATTATAATCAGTCTAAATAAAAAATAAAGGATAATTGCATAAGAAATACCCTAAGGAACTTTTAAAGTGCAATGTGGAGGATAAGTTGATACTACCCAAATGGAGAGACTGGAATATAAAGAAGCCCAGCAGACTCCAAGTTAGGAGGTAGACAGTGTAGTAGATAAACCTACAAATTGCCACCCTGACCTTTGGTATGTTTAGGTTGTTACTCATGTACTCCTATTACCTCTATTATGTTTTACAAATTACATATGTTTGAAGGAAAAACTTCACATCTCTTGTACCTCTGAACTGCATTTTTTTCCTGCTCTTTTAATAAGGTGCCCATATTTTCATCTTGCATACCTCTGCAATTTACATAACGAGCCTTGACTCCTGAGCTATGAAGAGAATGAATTAGAGGAACATAAGTGTAGAGGCAGAAGAAATATCCAAGCAGTATCAATGTTGCATCTTTCCAGTAGAAAGTTGGAATCTTTAATTCCCCCCCCAACTTTGGCTGTTGTCTTCTAGAGCATATGTATGTTAAGAAGACCTTTAGTCAGGGCTTTGCTAGTGCTAGAACACTAGGTTACATATGCATCCATATTTCTGTTGGTGTGGTCCTTTATTTGAATAATTTTCAATTATTCTCAAAATAATTCCCGAAGATATTTCAATTACTCCTATTTTTTATAAAATATGTATATTATTCAAATTGTATAGAGCTGAATTTTAAGATTAAGAAGAGAAAACAGATTTTTAAGAGATTATAGTTTATAATATGGAAATAGATGCCACATGTCCACAGTCCTTTATAAATTTTATAAACATATGAAGGGGGCAGAGAGATGAAGATGAAAACTACAACATGATAGTGCTTTAATTTAGAACTATTTGCAAAGATTTCAGTGATGTTTCAAGGTGAATATTTGAATATCAGATTTATTTGGCAGATATCTTTGTATGAATCTCATCACTTTCCAGAAGATAAGGATAAGAAAGGTGTTTCTAGGATTTAGAAGCCAGATATTTTGGTATCTCTTATAAATTAATATTTAATATCTTTTATAAGTTGCTTTTGGATCCCCAATCTAAAGTAAGATAAAAATAATTAAATATGCATTTATATTACTCATAATCCACTTCTGAGTTTATAAATATTGAGAGTTACCTTATAGAATGCTTCCCACCCCCCCAAAAAATGTTTCTAAAGAACAATTGCTTACTAGATTATGGACCATGAAGAAAGGCATGACATATGTAGGATGTATTATAAATTTATGTTCATAGAAAATGTCCTTTTTTCTATTCTTATTCCACAAGCCAACATGTACTATTTCTTTTCAGAGCAGAATAAAGTAGAATGACTGAAGTGTGATTGAAATTTAAAGAAAAGCATATTACATTTAGGATAAGAGGATATGTAGGGAAAAAAGGGAAGCAATTAGAAGAAAAAATAAGAAACATATCATAGGATTTCTAATTTTTTTTTGCTTATTCCACAATTATTCAGTTCATACACTGGTTCTCTTTGGAATAGGCACTTGTGAAATAAGCACAAATAAAATATTGATCCTACCCGCTTCCTATCTGGTCAGAAGATTGTGTGACAGGTCTTGCAGCACATTTTAAACACTAGCAAGCCTCACGCAGAGCACAAATCTCTCAGTTGTCAATCCATTCCAACAAATATTTCTCCATATAAGAAGCAAAAACTCAGTATGACTTCAAAGGAATCTGTTTCAGAATTAAGTAAAATACATGTATTTAAAACTAGTGTCATCTAAATTATCGAAATATAAAAGCAATGATCTTTACTCAAAAAGACTACTAAAATATAAATATCAAAATTTCAAATGGAAATCTCAATAAATAACCACCTTTATTTCATTTCCCTGACTCACTACTTAACCCTCTTCATGTTCTTTCTGATATACTGTTGTTCCTTCAGAGCCTTGAGCAGACCCGTAGAAGTGGTCTACTAACCTATCCACAAATTTTGCTGCCTCTAAGTTGACTTAAATGTCATTAAGAGACTGTTCTGTGCGTTCTCCAAACTCTTATATTAGTTGAACTTGTTATTTTAATTACATAATGTAATCAAGTACTACTTAAGCTGAAAAGAAAATGTGTTATTTCGGGTTCGTATCCCACCGCTGCCACAAAAAAGAAAAAAAAAAAAAAGAAAATGTGTTATTTCTATGGTAACTAAAGTGAATGTTTTGGAAAGGTTTAATTAAAAAATGAGCTAATGTAAAAAACGCTATCTGATTAAACGTGGGTGAGGTAACAGTAAAAGTTTGAAAAAAATAAAATATTTAAATAATTCCATATGTGCTTTCTTCAGCAGCATCATATAGACTAAAACTGGAACAATTCAAAGAATAGGATGGCCCCTGTACAAGGTTGACATGCAAATTTATGAAATGTCCTATTAAAGAAAATGTAATTCTTTGTGCAAATCATTTTATAAGTTCTACCGTGAAGAAATTAAAGTGTGCATTATGGGTATAGTTTACACGACAAAGATGACAATTTTTTTGATTACAAAGATGACAGACTATAAAAAAATGAAAACAAGCTTTGACCTTTAAGAAACAATTGATAAAATTTAAAAATGCACATTGAAGATTAAAAAATTTGATCATGAATCCCTTATCCCTTATTTTAATCTTTTCTAAATTAATCATTTTTCATTCTAACAGCATCAGAGAAAAGTATATTTTAATAGAAATAATTTAGTTCCATACTTATACACAAAAGGATGAAATATTAAAAGGAGAACACACTCTATTTTAAAAGACCAGGTGGGTGCATTTCTCTTTCCCTCCCCAAGACAGCCAGATGCTTGTGAGTGCCAGAACCACCACTCTCCATCTATCTTGATAGCAACATATGCCCCACCCCACATTCTCCTACAAACCTGCCCCATCTAACCTGCCTACCTGGCTAAGCATCCCTCCAAAGCAGTTCCTGCCCTCCACAACTTGCAGTTAGCCCTGGCTGAGACCAGTGCCACTCCAAAGGGTGGGGGAAGATAACCCCTCACATCAGTGTGCCTGCAGTTCTAGCAGGCTAGCCTCTCAGTTGGCCATACAGAATCTTCTGCCCTTTGGTGCCCATAACTATGGCAAAGAGGTCAATTGCAGGTAGGTAGGCTGACTGCTGGCCCTGTCCATCAAGTAGCCCAAGGTGGCCTCAAAAAGTCTCTCATCAGCTCAGGGACCAAGCCCTTCCCAGTATGCCCACAGCAGGCAAAGTGAGTTATCAAAGCCAGCAATTATGACTCAACCACAATAGTAGGATGCATGGAGTCCATACAGGAGACATCCCTGAAGTGCCTGATTCTATGCTAAAAGACACCACAAGACCTCTTTCATATAAGGCCACTACTTTCAAGAACAGGAGACATGGCTGCCCTACCTAATACATAGAAACAAATGGTTAGACAAAATAAGAAAATAGAGGAATATGCCCCAAATGAAAGAACAGGACAAAAATCAGGGCTAAAGAAAACAGAGATAAACAATATACCTGAAAAAGAATTCAAAGTAGCAGTCCTAAAGAGACCCACTGGACTTAAGAGTAAGTAAACTCATTGAAGACTTCAAGAAATTTATATATATATAATTATTATAAAGTCATGTAATTATTGAATATATATAATATATTAATATATAATATATATTACATATATAAATACATATAATAACCAGTTAGAGATGAAGAATAACAGAAATAAAAATATCCTAGAGGGAATCAACAGCAGCTTAGAGGATGCAGAAGAATGGTCAGCAAACTGGAAGACAAGGTAATGGAAAACCACCAAGTTGAAAAACAAAATTATAGTAAAAAATGATAATAGGTTAAGGAAAATCCATGACATTATCAAGTGTAATAATATTTGCATTATAGGGATCCCAGCGGGAGAAGAGAAATAGGAGGCGGCAGAAAACTTATTTAAGAAATAGCTGAAAACTTCCTTAACCTGGGGAAGGAAACAAATATCCAGGACAAGAAGCAGAGAGAGCCCCTAACAATTTGAAGCCAAGGAGGTCCACACCAAGACACATAGTAATTGAAATGCCAAAAAGTAGGGATAAAGAAAATATTAAAAGCAGCAAGAGAAAAAGAACACTTACACATAAGGGAAACTCAATAAGGCTGTCAGTGTATTTTTCAGCAGAAACTTTGCAGTCCAGAAGAGAGTGACAGAATATATTCAAAGTGCTGATAGGAAAACCACCACCACCGTCACCACCACCAAAACAAAACAAAAACACCTACAACCTAGAATACACAGTAAGGTTATCTTTCAGAATAGGAAAGAGAGAGTTCTCCAGACAAACAAAAATTAAAGAAGTTTATTACCACTAATCTTGTAATAACATTACAAGAAATGTTAAAGGGAATTTGTGTGGAAAGAAAAGGACATATTTAGAATGATGCAAAGAAAAAATTTCACAGATAAAAGCAAACATATAATAAAGGCAGTAGATTAGTCACTTAAAAGCCAGTATGGAGATTAACACACAAAAGTAGAAAAATCAATTATATCTACAAAAATCAGTCAAGGCATACACAAAACAAACAGATGTAGAATATGACATTACATACATAAAATGTGGAGGAGGAATAAAAATTGTGTTTTTACATGTCTGAACCTAAGCAACCATCAACTTAATACACTGATGTATATATGAACCCAGTAGTAACCACAAATCAAAAACCTGTAATAGGTACACAAAAAATCAAGAGAAAGGAATCAAAGCATAACACTAAAGAAAGCCACCAAAGGAAGAGAGCAAGAAAAAAAAAAAAAAAGGAACAGAACTACAAAAACAACCAGGGAACAAGTAACAAAATGGTAATAAGTACATAGCTATAATTACTTTAAATGGAAGTGGAGTAAATGCCCCAGTCAAAAGCCATAGGGTGATTGAAGGGATTAAAACACAGGCACATGTATACATATTCACAAAAGACCCATCTATATGCTGCCTACAAGAGGCTCACTTCAGACTTAAAGACCTATATAGACTACAAGTGAAAGGCTGGAAAAACCTATGCAAATGGAAGAAAAGAAAAATGGAGTTGCAATACTTCTAGCAGACAAAATAGACTTTAAAACAAAGACTAGCAAGAGACAAAGGAGGGCACTATATTGTGATGAAGGGATCAATCCAACAAGAATATATCATTGTAAATATCCATGCAATCAACACAGGAGCACCTAAACATATACAGCAAGTATTAACAGACATAAAGGGAGAACTTAATGGTAATACAATAGTAGCAGACATTAACACCCCATTTACAAGAATGGACAAATCATCCAGACAGGGAAAAAAAAAAATCAGCAAGGAAACAACAGATTTTAATGACACATTAGACCAGAAAAACCTAACAGAGAACATTCCATACAAATACAGCAGAATACACACTATTTAAGTGCACATGCCACAGTCTCCAGGACAGATCACATAGAGTTCACAAGAAGTCTCAATAAATAGAATTGCAATCATAACAATTATCTTTTCCAACCACAGTGGAATGAAATTAGGATTACATGAAAAAAAATCTGGAAAAACACACACATGGAGACTAAACAACACGCTACTGAATGAACAGGTCAACTAAAATTAAAGAGGAAATTAAAAAAAATAATACATGGAGACAAATGAAAAGGAAAATAGTCCAAAATCCTTGGACATAGCAAAAGCATTTCTAACAGGGAAGTTTATAGTGATATAGGTCTACCTCAAGAAGAAAAATCTCAAACAACTACACTTTACACCTAAAGGAGCTAGAAAAACAACAAAATCCAAAGCTAGGAAGGGAATAATGAAGATTAGACCATAAATAAGAGACAAATATATATATATATATATATATATATATATATTTGTCACAGAAAACAAAACAAAAAAAGATCAATAAAAACCAAAGGTTAATTCCCTGAAGAGATAAAATTGATACACATTTACCCACTTACACAAGAAAAATAAATCAATAAAATCAGCAATGAAGGAGAAATAACTACCAATACCACAGAAATACAAAGGATCATAGGAGATTATAAAAAATTATACACCAACAAATGGAAAAACCTAGAAGAAATGGAAAAATTCCTAGAAACATAATTTTCTTAAGATTTTGAGAGAAAGAGTGTGAGAGCACCAGCAGGGGGGAGAGGGAGAAGCAGGCTCCCCAATGAGCATAGAGCCCAACATGCGGCTCAATCCCAGGACCATAGGATCATGACCTGAGCTGAAGGCAGACACTTAACTGACTAAGCCACCCAGGCACCCCAAAACATCATCTTCTATAACTGAATCAGAAATAGAAACTTTGAACAGACCAATTACTAGTAATGATATTCAGTCAGTAATAATAAAAGTCCCAAAGTCCAGGACCAGAGGGCTTCACAGGTGAATTCTACCAAATATTTGAAGAGTTAATACCCACTATCCTCAAACTATTCCAATAATAATAATAATAATAATAATAATAAAAGAGGAAGGAAAACTTCCAAATTCATTCTATGAAGGCAGCATTACTATGATACCAAAACCAAAGACATTACAAAAAAAGACGACAGGCCAATATCTCTCATTAACACGGATGCAGAAATCCTCAAAATATTAGCACACAAAATTCAACAATACATTTGAAAAAACTATTCACCACAATCAAATGGGATTTATTTGAAGGGCACAAGAGTGGTTCAATATTTGCAAATTAATCAATGTGATAGATCATGTTAACAAAGATAAATACTGTATGATCATCTCAGTTGATGCAGAAAAAGCATTTGATAAAATACAACATTCATTCATGATAAAAATTCTCCAGGTGGGTCGAGAGGGAATATGCCTCAACACAATAAAGGTCATTTATGAAAAACCCACAGTTAATATCATATTACATGGTGAAAAACAGAATTTTTCCTCTAAGATCAAAAACAAGACAAAGACGCCCATTATCACCAGTTTTATTTAACATAGTACTGTAAGTCCCAGCCATAGCAATCAGGCAAGAAAGTCAATAGTCAATAGAATTGGCAAAAAAGAAGTAGAAGTATCACTATTTGCAGACAACATGATACTATGTGTAGAAAATCCTAAAGACTCCACCAAAAAACTATTAGAATTGATAAATGAGTTCAGTAAAGTTGCAGGATACAAAATATACAGAAATCTTTATATATTGTTTCTATACTTGAGTACTGAAATAGAAGAGAAATAAGAAGAGTCCCATTTACAATTGTTCCAAAATGAATAAAATACCTAGGAATGGATTTAACTAGGGAGCTGAAAGACCTTTTCTCTGAAAACTATAAAACACTGATGAAAGGAATTAAAGACAAAACATATGGAAAGCTAAGCCATGCTCATGGATTGGAATATTACTAAAATGTTCATACTACTCAAAACACTCT